TGCTACAGGACAATGAAATTCACATTTTCACAAGCCAGGACTGTTAAATGCTTCTTTGGTATTTATCAGGAAAAGATCTTATTTTGTGGTAATATGGCCACCCAAAGTCAATATTTTACTACATTGCAAAGGAAGTTTTTAACTGGAAAGAATGAAGCATTGTTTATTGTACTCTATTACACTTTTATTTATGGCGTTGTGGTGGTGCCACTCCCCAACCCTCAGGCCGCACTGTGATCTCAGAGAGGGGTGTCAAACTCTTCAGTGGCGAGGTCTGAGTTATGTGCTCAAGGCTCAGGTATCAATCCAGGGCATCTCACTTCCCCTGCTTCACACACTGCTCCCACCGCACCGCCAGCCAAGCACAACAGCATCTTTATCGAGCAGAGCTCTCTTAGAGGGAGAATGTGCCACAGCAGCACACCACAAGCATTTCATCTCCATCCCCTGCTCCCCTGTGGTCCACCCGGCAGCAAATTACTTCCTCCCACATTGTGCTGCCTTCTTTCTGCTGCAGGGAAGGAGAAAGCTTGATGCACAACAGAAGTGCAGACTTCCAGCAGGCTTTTACCCCTGGCCGTGACCTGGCATGGGGGACTCCTCTGGGAAGTGGAGAGGTCATCCCAAATTCACCAAGGGCAACAGTCTGTGGGGAACAGAGAGGAGGGCATTGACTGCAAGAGGGAAGAGTTTAATGGTAAACCAAGATCTGCATGCACATGGCCTTCAGCATTGTTGTAAATAATACTCCTAATAAAGAGCCAATTAGACCAACAATCTCATTACTATCCAGCATGCAGTGTAGGAAGGACTAGCCTAAAGCATAACTGAGCAAAAGTGAAAACACAGCTCCACGTTTCCTGTTATAATGTACATAGGCATAAGGAGACTTAATTAGATGTGTAAGAGGTAACAAGCATGGAGAGCTGAGAGAATGGCAGGCAGCCTAATAAAGAAGCCCCACGGTGTGGCACTTTGCAGCAACGCCCATTAACAACACCCAGCCCAAGGTGTTGTGGTCACCCCACACTTGTCCTGAGCAGGGGCTCCTGGATGGCCCTGCCAAAGCTTCCCCAGTGCCAGGCTGGGCCCTGGAGCAGCAGGACCTGCAGCATGGTGGTGGCACAAGTGGAGAGTCAGAGTCAGCACCAGGGCTGCAGGCAGGGCCATGGACTTTCCCCAGAGCCATAAATGAGGATGCAGGGAAGGTAGGGCATGAGGGGGGACCTGGGTGTTGTGGGTGTCTGTGATTTCTTCAGAAAGGAGCCCAGGACTGGAGACCCTTTGCCAAACCCAAGCAAGAAATGTTGTCATGGTAATCATCCATGTTATGCATAGCTCATGCTAGTACAGAAATTCAGAGAAAATTATTTCATAGGATCCAGTGACAATGTTGTCAAACAAAATTTATTTACCTTGCATTCATCCCTTAAACCTTCGGCTTCCAATTTTCCTTCACACAACCAAAAAATACCATGCAGGCTAGTTTTGGAATAGCTCTCATGTAAATCATCCCCTTGGGCTTGGGCCTCTCAAGCTGGGGTTCAGCCTGAGTGACTTTTTATAGCTGAGTTATAAACTTTTAAATGGCAGACTTAATCAGAGCTACTGAAATGGCCATTAGAGTGGTTTAAGTGGCGTAGCCCTGATATATGACAGCACAGAAAGCAGGCAGGTGGCTCATCTGCAGTGGGCAGTCCATCTGGAAGGGAGCAGGGTCTGGTGGCTAGAAACAAGCATGACTGAGACACAGATCTCTGGAGTTTTGCTCTTGCCCTTGTGCTATTGCTGAGTGACTTCAAGCAAGCTCTCTTGGGATGCACTGCCCCCAGCAGCCAGGTCTCAGATCAAAGGCTTAGAGGAAGAGGTGGCTCACCATGTCCTGGTTGCTCCAATATGCTGAGAACATGAATATTCATCTGCCTCCCCTCAGCAAACTGCAAGAATTGTGAGAAAATTGGCCTAGGGTTTAACACGGCATTGTGCACACTCAAAACACAAAAATCAACCTCATTTTTGGCTGACTTAGAGCAATCATCCACAAAATCCTGCTGAATTATAATCACAGACACATGAGACACTGAAGTGCTCAGGCTTAAGGGGGTCTAATGCTGTTTTGCTCCTTACCAGAAGGCTTTGTAAAGTTTTGAGCCCCCTAATTTTGCAAGTTCTGAGACATACAGCAGGTTAGAGCTGTACATGGGAGAGCCTCCCTCACTCTGCAACATTACTGTGGTCTGAGCAGAACTGGGCAGTCATCAATGTGAAAGGTGCTTGCACAGAGAAATTGATCCAAATGAAAACAGTACAGGAGCTTTTCAGGGTCTTCTTTCTAAATTTATTCAGGTATTAAACAAACAGAAACTACAGCATGCATCAGATACTTTCCTTTATTGTACAACAAAACTGTGGACTTGTTTGTATTTGCAGCATTTCCAGCAACATCAGGCAGACTTGTCGATGTTATCCAGTTTTGCACAGTCACTAGAGTGTCGCATCATGAATTATTAAATCAGTGCTTCGTGGTAATACATAATTTCTTATCAATTATTCATGCTAATGTGCGTGTAGTTTACTTAATTGTGTTATTGACGATCAAAAGTAATTTCCTGAAAATCCTCAAGGACAGAAAATTTAATCAGCGTAACTACTTTTCAGATGCAATGCTGTTAAGTATTCTTAATTTGCTCAACAATTCACTTATTTATGTACCTTTCTGGAGGAAATACGAGTTTAATCAAACAATTAGATTGAAGAGTTAGTGTACAGAAGGGCTGAAGTTCAACTGAATGCAAGGTAATTATGTTGGAACAAAGTTGGTCCTGCCTCTTTGGACTGGAATATTTTCTTTAGTCTTTTTTTAGGAGGGAGAAAAAAATTATGATTGGGAATATCAGTAAGAAAACAATTATTCTCTCTTCTCCAACCACACCCCACAACCAAGCACACAGCAATCTCTTTTATTTCGGTGGAAGAAAAGGGCTGTTGCTGTTGTTAAACTAAGCCATGACTTGCAGCCAGAGAAGCCACCTCCACCCACAGTTCAGCAGAGCAGCTCCTGAAGATGAAGTACAAAAGCAGACCACAGGCTACTGTATGCTCCCCTCCTTGCATTAGGACAGTGAAGAACCCCCAAAAGAAACACACTATGTGGCAGAAGTAAAATAAAATTACTCTATTTGATGCATGTGGGCCCTGCCCGAATTTTTTTTTTGTTCTCTGACCGAAGGACTGACCCAGCAATGCCCTCTCTGCTGGCTTGTGGCCAGAAGACACAACCTCCACCCTGGGGGTGGCTGGTACCCTTGGCTCCCCCACAGTGGGGTGCTGGGTGCTGCCAAGAGACCCCACGAGTAGCAGGGCTCCCACCCTTTGAGTGGGTACTGACATCCAGCCATGCCTCATGGAAAGGAGGGTGTGCACTGGGCAGTATGAAAGGGTTCTGTGAGCCCCAGAGAAGTCCCAGGTCCTGTGAAATTCATGGGCTGAAGTCATTTACATGGAGGAGACAAAATTCTGCGGCCAGCCTTACTCAGAAATGCCTTTCCAAGCACATCCCCAAAACTGGATCCTGTGAACAGCCAAACAAACCCTGTGTAAAGGCTCAGCACATTTCAGGAGGTCCACAGAACAATGTGAAGGTTCAGAGATGACAGAAATCCTTCCACTAGTCTCCATGTTACTTGATAAAATTTCAGAAAAGTGGTTTCAGCCTGTTCTCCAGGGACACCTGTGGACACTAAGGAATCTGCAAATGGCACCTGGAAAATTCAAGTCCATGTCAGTAAGTTTAATTCTTCACATGCAGTTCCCATGGGAAAAAAAAGTGAGATTAAAATGACTGTTCTTCAGATCTAAGTCTGCTTTGCTTTGGGGAGGTTTGGGTGAGAGATAAGACTAAATTTACTAAGGCATCAATTTCTCCTTTGCACTGTTCCCAATCTAATTAGATACTAATTAGATACTAATCTTAATTATTAGATACTAATAATTAGTATCTTTTCATATCTAGATTCATTACAACAAGCTCTCAGTAAATGGAATAGTGTAAATTCGAATAGCATAAAAGAATATCCTTCCAAGCTTTATTTCCTCCTTATTAAACATAATACATGGAAAAACATATTTGCAGTCTTGAAATTAAGGATTATTTTTGTCTTCCCATCTCTTTTTCCAAGACAGTGATGTCAAAATACCCCTAGCTTTGTTCAGGTCTAGAGACAATTCACTATCCATTAAATACCAGCATTACTGTTGGAAGCTGTGAATTCCACTCTGAAGTTATGGGTCTTTCATGTCTAATGCAGGGACTGGCAAGAGTAATACACTAATGTTCACACAGAGGCTAGTGCAAGGATTTCAGTCACAAGTAAACTCATCTTAGCAATTTTCCAGTAATCTCCTGCATGAGAAGTTTCACTTTCAGAGAAAAGAAAAAAGAAGAAAAAAATTATGAAGATTTTTGTTCTATTTTCTGCTTCTCTTACACCTGGATTGCCTGGAATAGGTTTGGTTGAAGTCAAGTGCCTTCAGAAAACAGCAGGCCAAATTGGGATATACCTGGTTATTCCTTCCTTCTGCTGTGAGCGGTGGAGTAACTGGTGCCTGAGTGCATCTCTTGCCCCAGAACTCACATCTGGAAGTGATGTGCTGCTTCCAACCATCCATTTCACACAGGATGGAAAGTCGAGATGTGCAGGAGCAAGCCAGGATCCCGGGCCTTTCAGTGTCCCTGGGATGTATGGGGCAAGGAGGGAATAAAAACAGTTTCACCAAACGTTTCCAAACACAGATAGTGCTGATAAACCAGGGAAATGAACCTACAGCGACACAAGAAAAGCAAGGGTGCATGAAAGGCAGCCAAGGAGGCCACTCATCTGTGCGGGTCCCTGGTGGCTCCATGATGTCCCACTGGGCACAGCCACACTGCAGTTCACCCCACGGCAGGGCACCGGTGGCAGGTCACCGCCCCGAGCCCAGGGGCCAGCACCACTCCTGTCTCATACGCTCTTCTCGCCTTCCATGTGCTCCTTGGCTGCAGAGGGCTGCTTGTCCTGGCTGCCCTCAGGGCCGGGCTTGGCAGGAGGCGTGGGGCTGCTGCTGGCAGCGGGCAGGAGGTTGGCAGACTGCAGCACAGCCTCCGAGTGCTCGCGCGCCTTCATGCGCAGCGCGGCCACGCTGGCCGTGCGGTTGCTTTGGCAGCCGTAGGTGGGCAGGAAGGAGAGGCCCATGGGGTCTGGAACACAGCACGAGCACAGTGGGCTCCCTGGGGAGGAAGGAGAGAAGGCACTGTCACTGCTGGGGAAGGTCATGGAAAACTTCTGTTCCCTTCATAGTCAGTCTGAAGAGGACAGAGATGGGGTGGACTTTTAGTGGGTACATTGGCCTTTAGTGAGTACACAGGTGTCCTCTGGATCACTGGGGCTAGAAAACCCATATCCTGTTCTGCTGATCCTTCTGTGAGAAGGATCTACACTGTTAGTCATCCAGGGTGACAAACAGAGCGCAAGAGGGAAGTAGAGACAGAAGGGAGCAGTGAAGTTCAGATCACACATGAGATTTCCTCATAAGCAAGGCTCAGCCCATTCCCTCCTCTCATATCAAGCTGCTGTTCTGTGGCTGCCATCAGCCCCATGCTGGAGATGTCCCCTGCCCTCCACCTGCACACTGAGCCTGATCAATGTAGGCAGCAGCGTTTGGTGAGTGAGTGTAGGGGTTCTATCACTTATCTGTGCCTGAAAGATTGTAGCAGAGAGAAAGGTGAAAATATTCCACTTGTTATGATGACCTTCTCCTATCTCGCTGTAAAATGAGATACTTTCCCTTGGCCAGGCACCTGACAACTACAGGCACCATGTCTACTTGCAAGAGTCTGTTCTACCTTTACCCATCCGGTGTCTGTGCTGCTTCAGGGTGGCACCTCAAAGAGAACAGTCTCAGAAGTGAGCCAAAGCTACCTAAAGTTGCTGCTGTGATACAACTTTAGAGCCCCATCAGGAGAGATGGATCAGAGCATCTCTACCCTGTCATTTGAGACAGGCTGTTCCAAGCAAACAAGAAAACACTGCAGCATGGATGAAGTGATTAACCTCTCTTGAAGCCAAAATCTTCCATGCAACCCACCAACAGAAGCAGTCCTCACTCCACCAGCTGCCTTCCTAAGGCTCTTCTCCTGGTTACTCCTGGATAATGCTGGAGCCAGTTCCCAAACAAGCACACCTGGAAGTGTAGGTTGATCACTGGACAGGACTTGCAGTCCATCCAAAAGGCCACACTGGTACCCAGCTTAGAGGCATCTATTGAATGATGGCGAATGTAACAGAGGAGTAGGATGGGGAGGCAAGGTGGGATGGCTGAGCTACTTCTTTAATTTCCTCTCTGGTTAAAAAACCAGATACCATTAGTCAACATATTTCCAGGGGTCTTAGAGGCCACACCAACTCCACATCCTCATGTACACCCCTGGCAAAAGCCTGTCTTTTGCTGACATGCTATCTTTCCACAAGAAACAGCCCAGCCACACACATCCTGACATGATGCAGTATCTTCCCCTGATCTTTCCAAGCCAAGGACTTGCTTTAATTTCTGCAGTTAATATTTGAGTTAAATGGCTCATGACTAAGTGATGGAACTAATAACCTACAGAGTTATACACTTCTGTTCTTGGTAGCAACGGGTCAGCACCCATCTGCTAGGAATGAAGGCAGAGAGTTGTTTGTTTTTAAGATGTTGGCAAGACTTCTCCGCAGCAATTGTCAGAGATTTGTGGTTGCCAGTAACATTCAGGAAAAATTATTCCTTGCATTTGAAAAAAATAGCATCTACAAAGGACAGCTTATTAATATAAATGGAAAGAACCTCTTCTCTGATAAAGCATATTGATCAGTAGACCAACTTTTCCATGGGTCCAGGCATTTAAGCACAAGCAAGTTTCAGCACTTGACTAAAATCCTCTGCTTCTTTTGCTTTTAGCTCTAAAAAGCTCAGTCTTGAATTCTGTGGCTGTTTTGAGCAGGTCAGAAAGAGGGTTTGTAATAAATCTACTCAGTAACACGATTTGCAGGTTTTGCCACCACCAGCCATGCACATAAAGTAATTTTTTGCCCTGTTGAATGATAGCCACTGTTTTAACAAGAGGGAGGAGAAGCTCTTCAGAGTCCCTGCAGTTTGCAGCAGGTTTTTTGCACCAAGTCCCACTATCTTCAGGTTCTGCTCATGGGGGAGCCGGGAGGTCTGCAGGAGCATCAACTGCCTTTGCACTGCTGCTTTCTAACACAAACTGAATGAGGCTTTCAAACTCAGCTGTTCAGCTCCCAGGCTGAGAGGAGGGCTGGCCTGCAGTGCCTAATGCAGAACTGGGCACAGACACTGTTTAGTGAGAGGTGGGGAGAAATGAAAAGCAGTCTTCCCCTGTTCAAAAAAGCAGGAATCGGCTCCATCCCCTAAGAATAATTTTCATTCCATTGTTAGGGGAATAAAATATTTATCAGTATTCAGTACCAGCCTATAATCTTTGCTTAATAATTTGCCCTGATATTACCTAGTGGCTCTGCAACCTGAGGGTGCAGTTACCTGTGGTGGAAACAAAGTTATCTCTAGCAATAATTCACCCATAAACCATTCCTTTCATTTCCACTGAGGTTAAAATACTTGCAAACAGCTCAAACATAAAGAAAAAAAAGTGAAGTAAAAAGCATCATTTGCTCCAGGGTCCATCTAGAATAGAGGAGAAAAGGATTTAGCCCTGTTCCTTTTTAATGTATGTTGTAAAGAAGGTTGACTATACCTTATAATTATCTGAATCAGCAGATAATAAGTCCAGTGAAATGCACTGGACTTTGCCAGCACAAAGCCAAGGCCAACAATGAGACACTCAGGAGTCCAAGGTCTCCTTGGACCTTGTGACCTTCCCATCCGTCAGCCCAAAATCTCCAGGAAAGTGACAGTGGCCAAGAAAGAGCAGCAGTATTTTTTAATATATTATCGCAGTAGCCCTGAGCCCACAGTAGGAAATGAAGGAATTTTTCCGACTTATTTCAAATCTTCAGAGGACTTCAGGCATCCAGCTCCCATCAAAATCAGTGAGGGTTCAGCCATCAGCCCTAGATCTTGATGCAGCCCCCACCAACACCTATGACAATCTGAGCTAAGTTTAATAGGATTTGTATCAAGCTGCTGCAATATGGACACGGTACAGTTTGCTTTCTTTCAGGAACTTACTGCCTTCTGTACACAAAATTAAAATACACAATTAGATTTCCATTAACTTACAACAAATTCTGCTGGATTGATCTGAACCTCCTTCTATTCCTATATGAGATCATACTTTAAATGCCCAGCCTGAACATAAATACTTAATGTAATAAATACAGTCTGAAATATTTGATCCACTTGGCAGTTTAATTGATCTACTACAGAGACTGACAGGAAAAATTAAATTAGTTTTGTCTTGTCTCTGCCAACAGCACATTTAAATTGTAACAATATTTGATCTACACTTTTCGTTGCAGACTGTTTTGTGCAATTCCATGGTTCAGTTTAAGGTGGGAAGAGAGGGATAGGAGTGGGACACATGCTGATACATAAATATCAATATAAATTTTTAAATATGCTTTTTGTGTTTCAAGTCAAGGGCTTAAAGAATTTAATAGGTAGTCTTTCCAAAAGGCAAAGTCCACATTCTTTTCCTCTTTCAATATTTGTGCATATCAGCATTTGATATGGACAGCTGAATTACAACCTGACATGGAGGGAAGGAAAGAAAAAATCCCATTTAAAACCCTCATATATCAATGCATGATGTTTAGTTTTCAGATAAAATATTATGTTTGATTTAATTATTGTTATCTTCTCATAATAGTCACATTGGTTTTCTTCAGCTCTAATCCCTTTCATAAGGATTAGAAGGTCAACAACAATCTCAAGTTCATAGTGTTGATTACCAGCGCTGATTCAATGGGAGCTCCCTCTTGCACTTCACAGATGACACCAACATTCTGTCAATTAAAGCCTAAAAGTCAAAAGTAGGAAACATAAAAGTGGCTTTATCCAAATCTTCTTGAGCTCTGAATCAGGAAGTTCAGAACAAGAAAGGCATGAACTCAGTCCTGAAATGGAGAAACATCAGATATTCCCAGTTTAATTTGGGGTTGCCTCAAGGCTGCTGGAATTACTTCTACTGAGAAGCTGGTTAAATGTGGAAGGTACCCTGTGCTGCCCAGAGGCTGGAAGAGCACTTCAGAGGCAACAGCAGGATCCAAACGTTATAATTTCACATCTCCTTGTCTGTGACTCCTCTATGCCCAGTGGAAAAAACAAAGAGCTGATGATCTGGATCAGATGTTCTATCATCAGGATCCTTTTTGTTGAAATAACTCAACACTGGAACTGGAGGATTTCATACTCCTTTATTTGTGCCAATAGTACTCTCAAAAAAAAAAAAATCAGAAGCCAGGACTTGCCTGTTAGGGCAGGAAGGCTGGCAGCAAAGCCCACAAAAAAGCTGGGAGAACAGAACCTGTCCTTTGAGTACTGTCAGCTTGGCAACATCATCAACAGGACCCCCTGCCCAGCTGAGGTCCACTAACCTAATCAAGATTTGTCCTGGAGGAACAAGACAGCACGAAGTTCCTACCCATGCTCTTAGGGCTCCAAGTACCTGGGTATTTCCTACTATTTGTGGAAAAAAACCAAAAATCTCTGCCTGTGAGGTAGGGCAGTGCTAGAGCTGGGGACCTGTAATATGGGAATCAAAATCATTTTCTCAATGTGTTTGCATCTGCAGCAAACTAAAGAAATGTATTAGATTCTCTGAAGTCAGAGTGGCAGATAAACTAAGAAAAATGCCAAACAAACCCGCTTAATACATTGTCTGTGTTACATCAGAAAAGTCAGTAAACCCACAATCAAGAATGACACTGAAGTATTTTATTCCCATTCCCCAGTCTTACAGTAAACAGTGGAGCTTCAGTTCAGTGAACACCAGTTCAAGGGTGAGTTAGGTCTTGAACACTTCCTTCATAGTGTTGACAATGGGAATTGCCCAACGGAACTGAGCAAATTCCCTCCATCTTTCCATAATAGAAATTGAAATGTAATGGACTGGCAGTTCTAGTTATGTTTTAGGGTTTTTTTCCTGGATACTGCAATTAAGCCTCCCTATTATGAACAGCAACCACAGCAGCAGCAAACCATAAAAGAGCCTAATCAACAGTGGGCTGCAATGCCCATTTGGATATGCGTAATACAATCGTGCTTCTCTATCAGTGGTGTGGGGGTGCCGTGAAAACCAACCGAGCTATAACTTGCACAGAGAAGAGCTGTGGGTGAATTATGAAAGTAATTCCCTGGCTAGCGTAATGATTTCCCTCCTCATACACTTCACTCATCATGGGTCTGGGGAAATTTCAGCGGAACGTAACAGACACACTCTTGGCCTCAGCCACCAGAATGGTGGAACACATCCGCTGAAAAACGGAGATTCTTGTTTACACCCATTAATAACATCTTCTGCATTAATGAATTGCATTCATGCTGTCATCCATTAAGAAGGTACTTTGAGGTCTCTCTCTGCACAGAACACTAGCTTCTCCAGATGACTCTATAGTTATACAGCCCATAAATAAAACAAGTATTTTCCCTTCATCTTTGAGGTCTGCAATTAAATCTACTAAATGGACTGCAGATGCCTGGCTTACAGTAAGTGTTTCATCTTAGAAGATCATGGAACTGTCGAAGTCACCACAATGAAGTAGCACAGTTGTCAAATCAGTGCAATTTCAGAGTAATGAACATCACAAATTTCATCTCTGTGAGTCAACTTTTTTCCTCATTATGGCCAGTGGTGAAGTACTAAACCCCTGAAGTAGGAAACACTGTATACCCCAGAAATTATGATGTTGTGCTAATTTTTCAAATGAGGAATTGTATTTCCTGACAGAATAGTACATAGGCAGATGATACAGTAGTTAACAGATGTTTGCTATTGAGTACAGCCTCCAATGTGCTAAACTTCAGAGAGACAGGAGATAGGAAAGGGTCTGTTATATTACTGAACAGCAAATATTTGATAGAAACAGAGAAAAACTGTCCAGTGATAATATACTCTTCTCTGGAAAAGCCTATATTCTGAATAACAGTTTTCTTTGCATAGTATAGCCAGCCCATTTTATTAACAGAACAACCTGTGATGCCAATATCCTCACTTTAATGGAAAAAAATCTCAGTTTCAGAGACAGCAGAGTTCATGGGGCATAGTGCTTAGAGAAAATAGCTTTATTCTCATTCATCAGAGCAGACCTGGTCTCATGCTCCAACAACATCCCCATATCCTAGAAATGGCACATGGGGAGTCCAGAGTGCCTAACAAGCACTTCACAGTCTTTCTAAAAGCAAAGTTGCAGTCTTAGTCCCTGCCCCAGACTGTCTCAAGATTTCCTATCTCTTGTAGACCAACTTCACCCTCAGCTATTACATCTTCACACTACAAATTAGATCCCAGAACCTTGTGGCCTAAGCACTTTACGTGCTTTGGAAACCTGGGTCTGGAGCCAAGCAATGTCAGAGAAAGAGAAGTATTGGGATTTTTTACTAAAGATGAAGAACTCTCAGATGACAAAATGAAAATGGTCCCTGAGAGCATAAAATAATTATTAATTACTTACATCACCATCATTACTTCTATTCACTGTATTGATTTTGTCTCCTAAAGCAGCAGTCAAATATTATTCACTGACACCAGCAAAGCATTGTCTCACAAGTCCAACAAAACATATCTTGTCTCCTCAAAAGAATAGGAAAACAACCTACACTTCCTAGTAGAACCTGATGTGCTGAGAGTGCTCAATTTTTTTGCAGGCAGCTCTTATGGCTGTACTGAAGAATGTGAATCCCTTTACTGGCCAGGATTGTTCTCCCAGTGGTGGGAATGTATATCTGTTTACAAGATCCACATAGAGGAGCTGCATTTAGTTCGACATTTGCATAGAAGAAAGCAGGGTCATACATCCTTCCATAGTGAAATAATGCTTTGATTCTGGAGCAATTATTTTTCTTTCAAAAGCACAGAGTTTCAAGCTGGCACAAGACAAATACTGGGAAGACCTCTCAGTCATTTCACTCTTCAATAAAACTTGCAAAATTTTGCAAAACCTTTCTACTTGCTGAGTTTTCCCTTATTTAAACAATCCAACAAAACAAGCAGCTCATAATTTTATGGCTTGACCTGAGTTTTATGGATTTGTGTGACATAAAGTTCTATGCCTCCAGACTGACTGCGGCAGGGTTCTAGCATCATTTCTGCAGCAAAATGCAACTAGATTTTCAAGTGAGAGGCTTAGGTCCCTTAGTTAAGACGTAAAAGGACATATACTATTGCCCACATGCACACAGGTCCTGTCTCAGACAGAAATGAAAAGGGAGAGTCAAACAAACTGAACGAGCATATGACAAAGACAGTCACATTAAGGTTCTGTGAACACTGTGTCTCTCCCTGTCCTTTCCTTCCTTCTCCCAACCATTATCTTTTCCTCCATACTGACACATGAGTTTGGTTGTGCTCTCAAATGCACTGGTTTGGATGAAACAAAATTTCATTTACCTGGAGTTTCCATGCCAAAGAAAAGCAAACTGTGCATTAGGCATGCGATACCTTTGGTCTACTCAGAAGATCTAGAGATTGCCCTAGTCACCACTTAACAGGACCAAAACTCAGTGACTGCTGTGCACAGCCCTACCCCAGCCCAAGTGAATTACTCTTGAAGAAATGGGGAAAGAGGAACCTGCGGAGATGAGCCAAGGAAGGAGGACACACTATTCCATAGATCAATGCCACAAGAAAGATGTTACAATAATTCTCTGCTTGTATATATATTAGATTTGGTCCCTTATATAATGATAAGTTCTTCCCCCTTAACACCAAAGGCAGATTTTGACATTACTAAGACCTAGCAGCAGAGCTGGCAGCAGAAGGAAAAGAGCTCCCCTCAAAGCAGCAGCTCAGACTATCAGTCCCTTGCCAGGATAACAATCCCCTGACAGGCCCACACAGCTCCTGGTGGGTGGATACACGATGCACAAATCTGTAACTGCATTACATAAAATCAAATACGATACTTTATCCCACACACAGCTCCTGGTAGGTGGCTACACAGATGCACAAATCTGTAACTGCATTACATAAAATCAAATACGATACTTTATCCCAGTTCTCTTGCATGTACCTGGAGATTTCTAGTGCCAGGCAAGAAATATAAAGCAGACAATTCAGAGACATTTCAGGAATGAACTGCATGTATAACTGACAACATTCACCAAGATAATATGCAGGCATCTGATAGCTGACCATTCCTATACAAATTGTATAAATAAAAAAATCTCCATTCACATTTGGGCCAGTTTTTTCAGAGACACTGTCTCTTAGTCTGGGCAACCAACTATTTAATATCTACAAAAGATTCAGGAATGTAACTTTTTCTGCCCCTAGGTTGTAAAACTTCAATCAAGCAAAAAAGAGCAAATTATTAGTTTCTCAATTTATTGCCTAAGCTGTACAATCAAAGAAAAGAGTATCAGGAAGTCTTCCAAATAAATAAAACTAAAAATAAACAAACAAAAGCAATGATAAAAAAATCCAATCCCAAACAAAGAAAAAAAAAAAACAACCAGCTAAAAATACCAACCCCTCACAAAAAAAATGTTTAATTTTTTTAAATTTTGCTTAGCTTTGTATATTTGGGTAATTTTTTTCTTACAATTTAACTATGTTTAATCATTAAACAAGTGAGAACAAATATTGATGCATTTAATTTTAAGTGTTTCATCATAAACTTTAAGGAAAAAACCTCCTTTACTTTCATATAAATTATTCACTGAACATAGCCCTATTTCCACACTTTTCAATCTGTCTGGGACTACAGTTATCAATTAACAATTTTTTTTACCTGAAAAATTTCAGCTTAACTACTCTAGAGAGGCTGTTCCTACCCAATGGAAAAAGTCAAAATTCACAACCCCAAGACTTCATAGGGCAGAGATCAACAGCTGCTGCCCACCTACAGATGACAAAAAGCCCATAAGTTTTAGGGTACAGGTCACATCCATGTATTCTTTCTTGATTCAAAATTCCAGGTCTCACACCTACCAAAAGAGCAGTAACTGTGTGGTGTTTCTGGCTTCAGCTTTTTTTGAAGGACAGGAGGGAAGGGGGTGCAGGGAGCAGGACACTGCACTTAACACACAACTCAGGAGTTCCAAACATTTGCTCCAGGAATGTACCTTGGCTGATTTAACTGGAAATACAAGGAGCATGAGGTATGCCAGAGAATACAGTGAGATGTATTAGGACATTTTTCTTTATAGTGGGATGTCTTTAACTGAGAAACTTTCCTCACAAGTTCTTGCAGCACATTGGGACACAGAGTAAATGTATGTGCCTCTTTGTGCTTGGCACTGCTATGAGGCTTTGCATCCTATAAATCTATAAATTGAATTCATCCTGCTTACACTCTTAGTCTTATAAATTGTTAGACTAAGAACAGCTAATGGATGAGTAGGTGATTTATTTTTAAAAGTTGCATACTGCTGCTGGAAACCAAAAGTATATAGACACGGGATGTACCCGTCCTGAAGCCAGGGTCCCAGGTAATGAGGAATTACTTTGTATCCTCCCCTGTCCCCAGGAACATGCTTTATTCAAGTTCTCAAAGGGGACCTACTGTCCAAGAAGAGAAAGGTCTGGATTGTGCAGAGATGCTCTGCAATGGAAACCACATGCAAAGAGCGGATGAGGCATCAGTAATGGTGCCAGGTACTACATAATGCAAAAGGATGTATATAACTAATTTATTAGAATAAATTTAACTTTTAAAAAAAAGCATATGCAACAAAAACTCTAAAGGAGCAAACCCTACCTGTCTTATTCCTTCAGAGAAAGCCTGACCTCACAAAAAGTAGCTGTCAGAGTAAAATGAAGGAGTTTTGCCACAAATGATGCTACAAGATACAACGGGAGACTCACTTTGGTATGTGCATCATCAATCAGTGCAAATAGTGCCCATCTAACAAGAAAGAGGGGTCTGCCATTTCCCAAAGTTTTCCTCACAGAGGCCAGTGGGACCATGCCACTTAGGTTGAAAGGGATTCTCTTTGAGCTGACTCCCAAGTAAAGTAATTTACCTTTTAGAGAGGCGACATGGGATAAAGCTTGTGCATAGGTGGCTGTGTTGAGAAGAGTCCCCGGCAGGCAGGAAGGGAAGAAAGGTCCTGTGGGACCCACTGCTCGGCTCAGGCTGGTGGAGAAAAGAAGACAAATTCCTTACAAAACCAGAACCAGCTGATTCCATTTGTGCATGCACTCAAACACATTGGTGTCTCAGCACACAAATAAATGTGACCCAGGCTGGACAACATCAGTCTCCCACAGCCACCAGCTCCTCAGCATCTATACAGGGAACAGTGGATTGCACAAGAAATACTTCATTTTCTTAAGATTATACCTGTAGGTCAAGGCATAGCAGCAAATCCGTATGCACAGCCACACATATGAGGCATTCTTGCCCCACAGACAGGTAGGCAGCTGATATCAGGTACTACTCTTACCTCTGCTGGATCTCCAGACCCTCTTTTTTATTCCTGGTTTGGTCTGTTGGAGAAGGCGAATTTAAATTCCTCGCAGGAGGTGCCACCTCAGCCATGGTTTCCTTAGAGCCCTCTTGGTCAGAAGCACCCCTCTCTGTTTTTCTCCATTTGGCCCTTCGATTTTGGAACCACACCTGCAGAAGGAGAGCAAGCATAGGTGAAATCCATGTTTAGCCAAATGTGAAGCAAGGAGATTGTAAATTGTTACTCTAGTGAAATTTGTCATTTACTAGCTTGGCTAAATCTTCCTCTCATTGTATATCCCCATTGCTATTCTAGTTGAGTCTTGAGATGACATCTGTATCTGTAATATTTCTGCATCTGGAAAATGAACCAGAAATGTCTAAAGACATTCCAAAGGCATGTCACAACAAAAAATTAGGGTTAAATACATATCTAAGCACTCTGCTGAAAACATATATAAGTTTTTAAATCAGCTGCTGCTAGAATCAGAGAGGTCAGAAGTGAAAAGGTGTGGATTTGGCCATTTAATCCAGCCCATTTTCTGGAGAGGGCTGACACTGACTGCTCTTCCTCTCATGGCCAGTCTGCTTTCAGAGGAATCAAAAGCAGATAGGTACTGATTTTGGAACATCATTGTGCAGTTTAATAATGTTGTTGTGCAACTGCCCCCACCTCAGGCCATGCCATGAATTCAGAATAGAGCACCACTTTGCAAACCTTTTATTTCCCCCATATGCAAAGCAAATATTCATATTCTTGATTTTTTTAGCTATTAGTCTAAAAACTTTTTTTTCTATTAACCTTGGAGCTGATATGCTGAAAGCACAATGTTTGAGGTGGCAAATGCCAAGCCTCTCTTGAGGTCAGGAAATCCACATTTTAATACATGAATTCAAGTATAGGCGAGATTGTTGTTATTATTATTCTTCTCCTTCTCCAATTCCATTTTAGTTAGCTGCCTTTTAATTGCATGTATCAGCAAACATTGAATAATGATTTTATCTATATTCTAAATTTAGAGCAGTTAAATGCAAAGCAAAATGCAGACACTTTCTTGTGTCTTAATTGAATGAAGGTCACAGCTATAACAATATTTAATTGAGCTATTTTTCATTATCATATTTTAATGACTTTGCACTGACAGTTCGCCTGCTTCTGAGGAAAGAGCATGATGAAGTCGTTTATTTCCCTATTTAGTTATTGTTTGACAACATCATCTTCGATTAAGACTCTGCTTTATAGCACATTAATCATATTTGAATGAGCAAGGGGTATAATGTAAACATATCTCCCATCCTCTGTGTTTCCCCATGTCCCTGCATGAAAGCAGGCTAAACAAATGCTTGCATCTATTGTCTGTTTGCATAATAGCCAACAACAAGGCTAAACACCAGTCCTCAGCAATCTAATTGTCACCACCCCTATCTCACCCTTGCACCTTTCAGGAAGAAGTTATGATCTTCCACTTCTGAATGCTCAATAATTGTCCCATTTATCTCAATTTGCAGTTCAGTCTTTAGGCACCAATAGCCAAAATGGCATTTTTTATTATTTTTTTAAGCCAGTACCTACAATGCAGTGGTAAAAGAAGATTTTCATTTCCAAATAATAATCAGTTTAATTTGCCCGCATATGACCAATGATTCATGTTCAGATTTAATAATCAGGATCACATAATCTGATTATAGGAGAAATAATTTGTTTACAATCCCCAATTTACTGTGGTGAATTCCATTATCTCTCTTCAGCCATTGGGTTTTAAGAGATACTAACATGACCCTAGGGAACAAAAGGCAAGCTATTATATTTCCTACAATTAGATCTTTGCATAGTCTTAACCCCAAGCACCTAAATAAAAAAAAATAGAAGAACAGCACGCAGAAAAGCCCCATAAATAAAAATGAATGCATAATCGTGTTCAAAAAATGGTTTGCAACTCTGTGGTGGATGCCTGAACAGTTACAGGGATCCATCCCTGACGACTGCAGGACTGCTTCTCTTAGCAGAGCATGTACACATACATATGGACTGGATATGGAAAAACAAACACATGGAAAAAGAAAAAAAAATAAAAGGAAAGGAAAAAGGTAAGGAGAAGGAAGAAAGGAGGGGCTGGAAAAGTGTGGGTGTGGAAAGAGTAATCAAGGCCAATGGTATTTATTGGATCATATTAAAGGTGTGGGAGTTGCTCTGCAGGCTCTTTATCTGCCTAAATTAAGTGTTTAGAAGGAAGGCAAAAGGGAGAAAAGTTGAAGAGGTGCAGAAACTGTCTTCCTGGCAGCTGGACTCCCTGCAGTTGGCTAACCCCCCTGCTCAACAGTGGTCATAGTTGCTTTGGAGAATCACATCTCAGCTCTTTTCTCTGCACCACGCCCCCCCTCCAAAAGCAAGGAAATGGATGTGCATTGATGTAATTTAGTACCTTGGAGACGCGGACAAATTAGTGTAGAACATTATCACTAGTTAATTATGAATGACCGATTAATCAACCTAATCTAATATTCCACATTATGTTGATGTTATTAAAGTGCATCATGAAAATGACAGATCGTCTTCATTTGCGTTCTTTGGCCAAATGTGCACTCTGCAGTCATGATGTCAAATAAAAAAAAAAAGGATTTAAAAAAAAAAGTTTGCTAGCTTGAATATCCAAGTTAAGTAATTCCCCAGGATGTTTACCTGCACCCTGGCCTCCGTGAGGTTGATTTTCAGAGCCAGCTCTTCCCGAGTGAACACATCGGGGTAGTGGGTTTGAGCAAAAACGGCTTCCAGGGCCTCGAGCTGATGGAGGGAAGGAGAGCAGAGATCTGTGAGGGATCTGGCTGCCCCACGGGGGTGTCTGCCAGGCATGGATGAGGAAAACGGGGCCACCGAGGCAGCGGGGCAGGCAGGATGGGCTGGCACGGTGCGGGGCGTGCGGGAAGGAGGCTGGGAGCTGGCAGGGAGCAGGCATGGGGCAGGCAGGGAGCAAGCGTGGTGCAGGCAAGCAGGGCGTGCAGAGGCCAGGGGCAGAGAGAAGCAGCTCCTACCTGCTGCAAGGTGAAGGTGGTGCGGTTGCGGCGCTGCTTCCTTCGCAGGAACCCGTCGTCGAAGTCGCCGGCGGAGTGACCTCCGAAGGGGGCAGCGCCTGCGGGCCGAGAGCCGCGTTAGGGGCCGCTGAGCCCGGGGCACCGGGCCGGGCACGGAGCCGCTCGGGCAGCAGCGCTGCCCCAGCTCCGGGGGCCGGGGATGCTGCGGGCACCGGGGGCTTCTGCGCCCGGAGATCACCCCGACCCGCGAAAGAGCATTTTTCGGGCTGTTTGTGTTTTAAAAGGGCGAAGAGACGAAGCTTTGACATAGGCTGGACAGAGCTGGCAGTGGCCCTGCCCATCTGCCGAGGGAGCCCGCAGAGGCCCCTGCCCGGACGAGGGGCAGGGGGCCGCTGGCAGGTTCCTGCTCTCCAGGCACCCCGCGGGGGCGGCAGAACCGCTCGCCCTGGCTTCTGGAGGAGAGCGCGGACACGGCGCTCGGTCAGCCCAGCACCGGCGCTCGGCCACGGCTGAACACCGGGAGTCGGTAGCGGGGCTGGGGGAGGCCACCCTGACCTTCCCTGAGGGCCCGGTTGGGGCACCGGGGCTTTGTCCCCAGACCCAGGTCGGGAGAGGGCATTTGGGCCACCGGGATGCGAACGACGTCCCATGGAGCGGATCCCGGCCTTGTGGCTCCCCCCAGTCACACATCATCCCTGCGAGCCCGTGTTGAAACGTGTCACTCCCTTTCTGTTTGCTGACAAAACAGGCTAAAAAAACCACAAACAAAACAAAACAGACCAAAAAACTTAAACCAAAGCAAAAACTAAAGCAACAACAACAACAATCAACCCCAAAAAAAAAAAAAACACAAACCTAAAATAACTCCAAACCAAATTGCTAGCTTGAATATCCAAGTTAAGTAATTCCCCAGGATGTTTACCTGCACCCTGGCCTCCGTGAGGTTGATTTTCAGAGCCAGCTCTTCCCGAGTGAACACATCGGGGTAGTGGGTTTGAGCAAAAACGGCTTCCAGGGCCTCGAGCTGATGGAGGGAAGGAGAGCAGAGATCTGTGAGGGATCTGGCTGCCCCACGGGGGTGTCTGCCAGGCATGGATGAGGAAAACGGGGCCACCGAGGCAGCGGGGCAGGCAGGATGGGCTGGCACGGTGCGGGGCGTGCGGGAAGGAGGCTGGGAGCTGGCAGGGAGCAGGCATGGGGCAGGCAGGGAGCAAGCGTGGTGCAGGCAAGCAGGGCGTGCAGAGGCCAGGGGCAGAGAGAAGCAGCTCCTACCTGCTGCAAGGTGAAGGTGGTGCGGTTGCGGCGCTGCTTCCTTCGCAGGAACCCGTCGTCGAAGTCGCCGGCGGAGTGACCTCCGAAGGGGGCAGCGCCTGCGGGCCGAGAGCCGCGTTAGGGGCCGCTGAGCCCGGGGCACCGGGCCGGGCACGGAGCCGCTCGGGCAGCAGCGCTGCCCCAGCTCCGGGGGCCGGGGATGCTGCGGGCACCGGGGGCTTCTGCGCCCGGAGATCACCCCGACCCGCGAAAGAGCATTTTTCGGGCTGTTTGTGTTTTAAAAGGGCGAAGAGACGAAGCTTTGACATAGGCTGGACAGAGCTGGCAGTGGCCCTGCCCATCTGCCGAGGGAGCCCGCAGAGGCCCCTGCCCGGACGAGGGGCAGGGGGCCGCTGGCAGGTTCCTGCTCTCCAGGCACCCCGCGGGGGCGGCAGAACCGCTCGCCCTGGCTTCTGGAGGAGAGCGCGGACACGGCGCTCGGTCAGCCCAGCACCGGCGCTCGGCCACGGCTGAACACCGGGAGTCGGTAGCGGGGCTGGGGGAGGCCACCCTGACCTTCCCTGAGGGCCCGGTTGGGGCACCGGGGCTTTGTCCCCAGACCCAGGTCGGGAGAGGGCATTTGGGCCACCGGGATGCGAACGACGTCCCATGGAGCGGATCCCGGCCTTGTGGCTCCCCCCAGTCACACATCATCCCTGCGAGCCCGTGTTGAAACGTGTCACTCCCTTTCTGTTTGCTGACAAAACAGGCTAAAAAAACCACAAACAAAACAAAACAGACCAAAAAACTTAAACCAAAGCAAAAACTAAAACAACAACAACAACAAAAATCAACCCCCCCCAAAAAAAAAAAAAAAACAAAAAAACTAAAATAACTCCAAACCAAAACCCACAAATGAGCAAACAAAACCAAATCAAAATAAGAGAACAGAAAAAAGAAAAATACCCGAACCCCCAGAAGTGTTGCTGAGTGTCCCCGTGACCCCACTTGCAGACCTGCCCCTGGAGTGCTCTGGGGTACGTGGGCTGGAGGTCCCTGCTCATCTTGCACCATCATTTGGAGGATAAACACAGCCCCAAGCCCTCTCCTCGCACAGACCTCACACCGCGTGGGCCTGGGAGAGGCTCATCAGAGAACAAAATGAACAAAATACTGTCCCAGTGACCTCCAGAAAGCTGTCTCTTCCCTGTGGCACCAGGCCTCCCGGCTGCCCAAGCGCTGGCCAAACAGATTTTGGGTTTTGCTTCTTTGATTTGGTGATGCGTGGGTGGAGGGGTTTGGACAGAGTTACATATAATTTTTTAATTTTTTGCTGGTGATGCCCAGCGCTGTTTTCACCCTTTGGCAGGACAGATCGCCCGTTCCCCCGGCCCCACTGCTGCCCAAGCCGGGAGAGCGAGGGGCCGGCCCGGACAGCGCCGGGGGAGGCTGCAGCCTGCGGGGCCGCTCCCGTCTCGGGCTGCCAAACACAGGCACCGGCCCCACGCTGCCTCCGGAGAAACAAACATACAGCAAACAGACAAACAAACAAGCAAAAACAAGAACACGTTTCCAAAGCTCTCTGCCAAAAACAAGCGAACAAAGCCGCCTCACAGTTCGGTGGCCCTGGCGGGAGGGACCCTCGCACTGTCCTGCCCAATCCGCCTCCCCTGTCCTGCCTGGAGAAAACTTCGGGGAGTGAATATTCCAGCCGGGATGCCCAGACCGGCTTGGGTCCGCAGATCCTGGGAAGCCGTGCTTGAAGAGGGGCTGACCCTCCCCGAATTGGAATAAAACCGCTGGACCACTTCTTCCTGCCAGCGCCGCCGCAGGGAAAGCCCCTTCCCGCCGGGGATGCCCGTGCCAGGAGCGGGCTGGCCGGGCCGGGGGATTTCACGGGGCAGGGTGGCTTTCCCCGCCGTGCAGCCGGCAGAGCTCGGCACGGCGGGACAGCCCCGGCGCGGCCGCGGCCCCGGGGATGCTCCGCGCTCCAAGAGCAGCGGCCGGAGGGAGAGGGGCAGAGGGCCCTGGGCATCTGAGGGGGTGACACGGGGAAATCTTAAAGACTGTCCATTTTTAGAAAGGAAATCAACAGCAACCATAATAATAATAATAAAAATTAAAAAGTCTCTAGCCAATAACACAAAGAAAAGCATCCTCCCAAGTGTTTATTTTCACCCTTTTTTTTTTTCCTTCTGTTGTACCTCATTTTTCCCCATCCTCTCACAGAATGTTTGCAAAATAGCATTAAAGATTTATGCGGTCCCTTTGGCTGGAGGGAGGAGGCGTGACCACGTCCTGAAAGTGTCCCGATTACAGCCATGACACCAACATCTGTGCTGGGAGGGGAGAAAAGCATCTCTCTCTTAGCCTGAGGCTCAACTGCGGGATCGCTATCCACAGAGGGGAGGCAGGTGGCAAAATGACGGGGGTGGGGGTGTAAAACCAAGCCCTTTCCAGCAGGAATCAAATTAAAAAAAAAAAAAGTCATGCAATCCTTCTTTCCTTCCAGTGACAAGAGGGGAAAGCTAGGAGGGGGAGGGGGATAGGGTTGTATTTTCTTAAGGAAAAGGATGCTGTTTAGTTGTCTTTCTATAAATTTGCATCTTATCCCAGCACGCATTTGTCCGCGACAGTCGTGGCGCAAGTTCGGTCACAGTTTCTCCTTCCGTCCCCAGCGCACCCCCCGCCCCCAGACACCTCGGAGTTCAGCTCCTGCACTTACACATCTCCGTGCGACAGCACTCACCTTCTAGCTGCGGGGGGCAGTGGAAGTAGAACATGGCCCTGCGGCCGGGTGCGCTCCCGCTGCCCGCAGCTGCGAGCCCGACGGCGGCCGGGCCCGGGGCCAGCCCGCGGGGCGCGGGGCTCCCGCGCAGCCCCCGCTCCGCCGGACCGGCACCAGCCCCCGGCTCGGGCACGGCGACCCACCGCCGGGCTGCTCCTGCAGACACTGAGGGAAAGAACAGAATAGGTGAAGAGCCAGAAGAAAACACCTGAAGAAACCCGTTGATAACACTCAAGCCCATCCCAGAGGAAGAAGAGAAAGTAGCGTCTGAACCTGTGCAACGAATTAAAAAAGCCAAAGGCAGAAAACTCCGTGCTTGGCGTACAGTAATCAGAATCAGCAAAACTTTGTTTGTTTGCGTTTTTGTTTTTTTTTTTTTCCTGCCCGGAGTAAATGTTTGTGCCTCTCTTTTTCTTCTATCTATTCATCCATCCATCTCTATATCTGTCCATCTATCTATCTATCTATCTATCTATCTATCTATCTCTATATCTATCGATCTATCTATCTCAAATATTCCATTATGGAGCCAAATAGTTACATAAAGAAAAAAAAATGTTTCTACGTAAGATTGAACTGCTTAAAAGAAAAGCTAAATTATTCTGCCTAAATGAAACAGCAATAAAGCCTAAAAGCTGCCTTCTTTTTAAAGCATCCAACACGCTGGGAGCCAATGTCCTCAGCAAAGAAAAAAAACCCCAAGCAGCAACTCAAATTTATATGCAGTCGTACTAAAAACAAACAAACAAACAAAAAATCCAGAAGGTAAATAAGTATAGTAATCCATACCTAAACCGTACAGAAGTAAAAATCACCGGTAAGATTTGGGGGTGTTTTGCTTTAGAATAAGGCGCTGTGAGTTGTTGGCTGCAGAGACAGAAGGGCTCTGTGGAGTTCTGGAAGTGGCCAGATGTCTTTATATCTGTCTACAGCATGCTCTGCCTCTCAGCACTTGCCTTTATAATCTCACGCATAATTGGCCTTAATCTGATTATTTCCAGCGCTGTCTACAGTGAGTAACTTGGATAGGTCTATTGGGCCCTACAAATGGCCCACGTGGTGCGCAGAGCAGGGGGGGGTGGAGAGGATGAAAAGAAAAAACCGTAATTTCTCAGCAAACGCCAGGAATGTGAACGGCAGCGACACAATCCCATTATTTTCCGAGCGCTGGCGCTCCGGGGCTCGCAGCCCCCCGCGCGTCCCCCCCGTCCCGGGGTGCCCCGGGGTGCGGGCCGGGGGGGCCCCGCCGCCCCGCGCTGCCGGAGCGCCGCGTAATTGCCGCCGGATGGGTTTTGGGGGGCCGCTCTGCACACGCCTCGCCTTTCCAAGCGATCGTACCACGGCAAAGTTTGATTTTGTTCGCAGCGAGGGGTCTCTGGATTTATGCTCGCTTCCCGTCTGCAAATGATATGCGGCGGGACCCTTCGCAATTACTTTTAAAATGCATCCGAGACATAGGCTCAGCGGAGAGAGATGGCCCTTGCCTCAGCCCGGGTGAAAATTAGACTTTAAAGTACCCAGATGAAATTTTCAAGTCAGGGACGCGGGATTGGATCAAATCACATAAACTGCAAAAAAAGCAAGTATAATGGCGCATAATTGGTTCTGTAATAGCATTACACAAGGATAATAGCCTGTTATGGCCCCCTGCACATTAAGTGCTTCCCTGGCGTAAAGCCTTTATGATATTAAAGGGGGAATATAATGATATTTTGGTTATTAAATGCGTGTAATTAATTTATGCACCACTGAAAATAAAGTTGGTATTATGACCCACTCAAGATGCATCAGAAGATGTAAGTCAGACAACTGTTGATAAGTTCTGGTGTCTATGTTTCGTCTAGACTGCTGATTTTATTTTGGAACAATTGCTTCTCCGGCAGACTACACAAATTTAATATTTTATAAAGATTGTAATGTTCTGTGCAGGAAGGGCGAGCAAATCTACACAGGCTCTCTTAGATCTGATGGGAGTTTAAAGACAGAACATTCATACCAGAGCAAAGGAGATGGATACAGGCAATACAGGTGCAGAAATAGTGATATTGAAGAGATGATGTCTTTGGAAAGTTGATTCTGTACATATGATTTCATTAAATAAACACTAATAAGCCTTAGAAATATCACCTGCTCTGTCTTTTACATTAGGCATAAATGTGGAAATTCCCCTAATGTATATTCAAGTTGGAGTTATGTTTCCATCCTGTGAATCATTATTTTAGCAAAGCAAGGCAAAAATTAATTTTACTTGAGATACAAATTGATTTGATCTGATCCTATCTTATTCATTCACTTATAATTTTAGAACAGTAGTAACAGATACAGAAGGCTGTCTTCAGGTGTTTTATATATGTTTACATGTCTATACACACACTTTTAGGAATATCTTTGTTTGACAACAGTCGTTTGCACACCATCCAGGCAAGTCTCTGAGCAGTAAAGTATACTATGAATTGAGATGGCTTTTACAGCACCATGCAAGATCAAAGACCAATCTCCGAATCTGACTGCACTCGATAAAACAGCAGCACAAGCTTTAGGTCAAGTAACATTAAGAAAAAGGCTATAACCCAGAGGTGCTGCCTGCATCTCTCCTGCCAGTCTCCCCCTCTTGAGCTTTAAAATCCGCACAGGGCCGGTACTGTAGAATCCCTTTGCACAGAGACAGATGTGCCTTTTCCTTTTTCTCTGACGTCGGGAAGAGATGAGTGAGATAGTGTTTTATCATAAGAACCCCTAATAAAATAATAATAACTTCATTATGGTGCTCTCAGGCCTTGCTCTAGTCAGGGGGCTGCATTGCTGTTTTGGCTCCAAGACTCACTCTCCCCAGCAGTTTGAAGCCTGCAAGTTCAGCGTATTGCAGGAGGGGGAGAAGGCGGAATGGAGCGCGGGGAAGTGCTCCAAGTCGCTGCTTTTTAAATAGAAGCAAAAGAACCCTGAGCCAGTCGAGACTCAACTTTCTCCCAAGGACCAGCAGCTGCAAAACAAGGAGATAACTAAGCAATATATAATCCCCCACCCCTCGCCAGCTCGGTGTCTGTTTAATTTTAATGCTCGAAACGCGGGGCTGACATAATTAAAAGTTAGCGCCGGGGAGTCCTGGGTGCTGCTCTCGGGCGGACGGAGCCCCGGGGCGGCGGCGCTTCAGCACCACGGAGAGCGCCCGCAGCTCCGCGCCCCGGCCCGGCCCCGGCCCGCCCGGGGAAGGGCTGCCCGCAGAGCTGCTCCTCCATCCCTCCTGTCCCCCTGCTGCAGCCGCTTTCCTGCCAATCTGGGACTGCAGTGGAAAAAATATGCAGTAAGTTGTTTGGGATCACGTCTAGTTCCTCTGATCTAGCTACCAAAGGCAAGCACTAAAACCAAGAATGAAATAGCATACAGAGCTACAATATTTCAGGGGAAAAAATTACCTTTTAATGTAAAGTTCTTAAAGTCTCCTTCGTAAACTTAATTTTCATTACTATTATTATTACTGTTGTTATTACTGTGATTATTGTGACAGTTATTAGTTATTAGGTCTGCAAGAAAAAGTCCAAATAAGTATAATTCAGGATAGACACTTTGCTGATTGTGTCTGTCTAAGAGCAGAACTGTTCCTGTGCTGCACACACAAACACACCTCTTCTTACATTTCACCCATGAAAACAAAGCCTAGGGCTGAACTGCTGAGCAAAATCACTGAATGGATGTTTTCCTTGGAAACACTCAGCTTTGAGGGGATCATTCGTAAAACTCAAAGAACAGCTCAGTCTGATTAAATGGCTCTCCTGCTTCTCCATGTCCGAATGCTTCTTTTCCCGTGTTTCTCAATACCTGACCACAGAAAAAGGCTAGCAGCTAAAAGGTTATTTTACCCTAATTCATGTGCAGTAAAATGTATTTTCCAATTAACCAAATTTGCCGATTTGTCCCGCTTGGACACTCTTATAATTTATAATGTAAAAGTGTTCTTTCTTTATCTAAAGACCAAGGTGACTGCTTTTAATTTTCTGTAACCTCTTTACACTTGATGTTCACCAGACTCATAATGTTAATTGGCTTCATATACGGATCATCAGTTTAATGAAGGAATAAATCCTATGTTGCTTTATGTCCCTCTGTTTTAACAATGATTGCTTTAATGAAGAATGTGACGTGTTTGAAATCAAAGCTGCAGGAGACATTAGAGGTTTTTTTTTAATGATGACTGAAATGCTTATTTAAAGCTAAAACCGTGAGGTTTTCATATTTCAAAAGCTTTTCTTTAAATAATTTTCCATGAAAAATACTGACACATTCTTCATCAGAGAACTCTTTCTTTGCAATATAAATATATAATATGTAATATAAACACCCCAATTAGGTTATGAAATTATCTCTAAGCTTTTATATCACTGCAGTTTTCATACAGAGTTTTACTTAAACTCCCAGTGAGTTATAGGTAGTTATGCCTGCCTAAATAAGGAGTATTTGGGGGTAACTAATAAACCTCTTTGTCAACCTACTGTATTTCCACTGTTCTTGGGTAGATGAAGAAATTTACAGGGGAGAAAGGATTGTCAGTTCATACACAAAAGCCCTGGATTGCTGTAGTCTGTTTTTCCCCATGGGAATTTTAGAATTTCAGGAGCAAGGGTAAAATGTAATGAAACATGGACTCATAGAGGTAAGGTGACTGCAAATCAGAACATCAATTAGGTCAAGCTGGAAAGCAGCAATTAGACCCAACTTCATGTGCTTGTTACAGCAGCTACAACAGGTTTAATGTGTACAAAGAAAATGAATTCTGGTAATTGAACTTCTACATTCCTGGTCCCATTTATAGTAAGCTTTCCTTCTCTCTCTTCCCTCTGCCTTTAATGGAGACTTCATATATTGGTGTGCATATACTGGTATATATTTTCTTCTAATTTGAAAGCTGCTGTTAACAGAAATTACATGACCATTGGATAAAGGAACATCAGAAAGGAAAGTCTCTAATCAGAACCTAGACAAGGGCTAAGCAATCAATTGAATTGGGTAGAAATATCATGACATAGCAAAGGAAGTGCAAGAGACAGAAAGGGATATTAGCTTAAATTACATACCACTGAGAAGTCATTCAGTATGCCAGGCCTGATCCCATGACTTCTTTTCTTGTTTATGTCCTGGCAAGTGTTATACTCATTCAGCCCAGGTCGCAAAAAGCTTCATGTAGGTACACACAGACCTTCACCACTGCCTTCCATATAGTTGTCTTAGTGCTGTATGTTTCCCTTCAGAGCTGGCCTGTGAACACCCTGTGAACAGCCCATAATTCACTCTTGCCTTGCCTCTCAATGGAAAACAAGAAGGTACCTTGTGACACCTCTAGTGGCACACAAGATTAGTCTGCCAGACTTCCTCAGTGTCAGCCACTCTCTGCCTGGAACTTTGCCTTTACCAAACCTATGCTTAGCACAGGTGGGGTCTGTGCCAGGATGAGGCAAAACAACACATGTTTTCAGGGGGATTATCTGGGTTTTTAGTGAAGATATCATACAAAGGTGCTCCTTCACAGATAAAACAAGTCTTCTAACCAAGAGTTGTGAATAAAGAATTCCAAGGGAAGGTCTTTGAGTCTATGGCTTTTTACGACATAGTTGTTTGGTCACAAACACTGGCTCAGTGCATTTAGCAGAAAATATGATGCAGATGAAGAGTTGATTACAATGTGAATCACAGTAGAAAGCCTGCACAGATTTTTAAATATACGTACCAGTTTTGTGCTGCCTGACAATACCATATAACCTGATGGTTAATCAAGCAAGGTTTCTGTGAGCAGATCTGAACCAGCATAGTGGGGTTTATGCCATAATGTGGCATTGTGTCACAAGGCCTGAATTTACAGCATCACCAAATCCTGATTTCAGTTGAAGTTTAGTCACTTCTCCCTATCAGGTCATTTTCTCAGGGAAAATCTGCAACTTTTGTTTTCCACGATAAGGCAGGCCATGATCTAGCTCTGAATAAGGGCAGTTAGTATATGCAAGAATCTAAAACTGCACAGATTCTGTGACAACAGAAAGTTAGCAGTCCTCCTTATTCTGTGAATAGCTTCTAGCAATAAACCCAATAGGAAGAAAGAAAACATTTTACTAGTTGCTTTAATGTACAATTGTCTCATTCACCAAAGGAAAGGCAAATTCACACCCACTAACTACTCTCCTTGGAGGTGAGCTGCACTCCAGGCCAGCAGAGAAGTGGCCCAGGTGTGACATATTTTTACACAAAGCCATTGAAATGCACGCTCTGGATGTGGCAATGTTCTCACATCAGCCCAAGCTCTCCATCCCAGTTCTGGGTAAATTGCACCATCCTTTGGGATGAACCAGGAGGGAAGCTGCTTCTGAACGTGAATGCAAGTGCACGTGGGTGTACATAAGAATGAATACACATGTATACACGCATTTGCATGTGCAATCTGAAAGGGACTGGTAATAGTCTGGGGGGTTTGGTATCTGTGGGAAAGCCCTGGAATTTACCATAGACACTCAGTCACTCCTCTTTCCCGGAAACAAGCTCCAGGACTATGAATAAATACTATCCTCCATACCTCTTTCAAATAACTGCCACATTTCCTACACGAAGAACAGAAACCGTAGTAATTACCCTTGGCAGTCTGGAAGAAACACCGAGCATTCCTAAAAGATTGCCTCATACCAAAGAGCATTTTCAAGCCTGCAGAGTGTATGGAAAGGAGCTTACAGCACCGCTGTGCTCCAGCTTCCTCAGAGCAGGCACATAGATATTTTCTCTTCTCTTCCTCCCCAGCTCACCCCATCCCTGTACCCAACACCCCAAAAATAGGAAACCACCTCCGATCAATTCCTCAAGCCCATCCCTTCTGCCTTAACTGTTCCAGACACCCCCAGGATATCCTTTCCCCTGCTTCAGTGCCAAGAAGCACCTGCCCATCACCTATACCTTGGGAAAGGAGTACCACAGAAATCCCTTAAAACAAGCATTCCTACAAACAGACCACTCCTGTGAATTTGTGCTCTTTAGGGTTGGCTCTCCCCCAGGACATACTGAGACCCCACTGCCAACTTGTCAGGACAAAGCTTAGTGCTCTCCCCACCTTAAGGAGCAGAGTGTGACTGCACATATCTCACATGCCTGGACCACTCTAGTTCCAAATCTGGACCAAATGTTTTGTCACGGGGCTGAGCATCACCCTTCAGTTCTACCAATGAGTAAGATTTTCTTCTTATTTTGGAATTTATACATGCTTCAGTTAATGAATGAGAAGAAAATGCACCTTTATTTTAAAGCAAAGCAAAACAAAACAAAACAAAATGCAACAAAAAGAGCCTACTTGTGCTTAATTGTTATTCTAATTACAAGTTGTGGTGTAGTGTAAATTCTTTCCCTTGGCATTATTATGAACCTCATTTCCTTACAAAGTCCAGGATAAACAATTCCAATATATTTTGTTTTAATTATCAGGGTTTAATGGGGCATAATAAGACTAAGTTGAGTGGTGCAGAAAAAAAATAATTTAATGTGCGTAAAACTACCTACTGCTCCTAGCTTGCCTGTGCATATTTCACCTATTGTAGGGCAGCACTATGTTAGCTAATATTCAATGTGCCCGTCATTTATTTATTAATGAGACTTGCTTTTTAGTAGATTTTTTTTCCTGGCATCTGAAACAAGAAGAAACACATTAAGATATCCTAGAAAAACAGTGGGCAGTTCTCTGGGTTGAGCAGAGAAGGATGAAGCTGATATACAGCTGATGGTGTTGGAAGCATTTGTTGTGCATGGACAGAAGATGCAATGCTGGACACAGATCCTGGCTCTGCCAATCCACTCCAAATGCTGCCAGTAAAAACTTCTGGCTTCAGTTCTTAGGGCCTCTACCACAAGAAGCAAAGATAAAACATCTGCTGAAGTCACCATTCAGAAACAACCTGGCCCAGACTCTCACTGTAGATGCATCTTGCCACTCCCAAGGTGTGGTTCCTACAGCGTTAAAACACTGCAGGTACTTCTGCAGTGAAAAGGGAAAAGTGCATAAGAGCAGCCTGGAAAATAAAACATTTAAAGGGAAAGCCTTTATGGCCCTCTATGCTTCCCAAGGTCCCTTTGGCAATGGCACTGAATCCATGGCTGGGTGTGGCTGATGCAGCAGTTAGAACCACCCTGCTACCAGAATTACATTCCATTTTAGCGGGGCAAGCACATACCAAGATCATATATCAAGATCAAAACACTTTCACTTGAGGAATAACTACTGGAATAACTTCCCTGAGGGGAAACATGTCTATCCTCTTTATCTGTTATACTCCTTGACACAGAGGACTTGATACAGTACCCACTGAAGCCGTTGGGAATGCCCTCTCTTCTGCAAAATTATTTGATTCACGACTCTAGGAAAGATTCAAATACAACACACAAACCATACCAATTACATTTATTTTACAGTTACATTACATTTATTTTAAAATTAGCATTTTATATTACAGATTAATTTAATATACCCCAAGCGTTTGGGTTTTAAATAAAATACATTTATTATAGACATCAGTATTTACAGAAAGAAAAATATAACTTTTTTTTTAGTCTCTTTGGAGTAAAAAAATTCTCCATTAAGTTTTTTGGCCATGGGAGATGCCACATTCTGTGAGAGGTCAGCCTCCTTCAAGAGTTAATGGAAACAAGAAACTACCAGTCTTAAGATACACCTCCATGAATTGACTGAGCAAGGGCAATGGGCTGGTTACCTGCATGAAAATGTAGCAAGACTGAAAGATCTCAAGGGGCCCCATCCAAGCCTGTGTCTTCCTGTTCTTTAAAGAAGGGAAGGGAATCAGCACATACATTCAAAACTCGCCTCAGACACCAGACCAGGCCAGCATCTAGCACATCCTCATGGACCTCCAAAGCTTCATGTTTTGTTTTTTTTTCTTCTTGCTAAACCACAAGGATTCTGACCCAAGCTTAGGGTCCCACAGCAGAGCAAATACACAGAGGCAGTCTCTGGTGCCACACACCCTGACAGCCATTACAGGGACAGGCACTGCCTCACCATAGAGTTGCAACCCTGAGTTAGAAGTCAAGTATGCTGATTCCCAGATGAATACTGACCCATGGGCTCCTTCAGTCTGGCTAGCAAGTCCCATGGGGACTTATGAGGAGTTCTCTGCATTTGGTAGAGCTGCATAAAGCTCAGAGGAAGAAGTCCATTTCTTGGTAATGCATGATCTGCAAGTGGTAGAAACCTCTGAAATTAGCCCTGGGCAAATACTTACCCTGAAAGCTCAAAGTAGGACTGCACATCCCCACTGGATCATGCATCCAGAACTGATTAGGGCTGTGCTACTGACACCTGCATCCCATCCTGGATTGAGGCAGGATGCCATGCTTGTTAAATCACTAGAAAGTCTAAGCCTTGGTACACAGAACAAGACCTTAATTTGAACAGTCAACTTAAGGTGTTTCAATTCCTTCACATAGCAAGTTCCTGATTTTAATACTTTCGTTGTTGTACAGGCACTCAAAGAGCTCTCCATGGAGGTCTTGAAGTCTGCAGCTCTTCACAAGCCAGCCACTTTTCCACAGTCATGGTGAGAGGAGAAGGATTTGAAGCACAGACCAGTTTCTGTCTCTCCTGCCCTGTAAATTGAAATGCCATCTCCTTTGATATTTCCAGTGTCAAATGAGGAACTGAATCCAGGTGCACACAGATGCAGAGAAAGAAAGTCTTGCTAATGACAACCACAGCTTGTTGCCACCATATCTTTATAATGTTTAAGGACAGCATTCAGTTTGTCATCAAAGTAGAGAAGATTGAGGGACTGCAATTCATCTGGCACACAGCAGGGCATGCTGACATCCTGAGACAATTTCATTGTATAAACAATGGACTGAACTGTAGCATGGTTTGTTGCGTTTAGACTTCCCCCCAAAGGGAAGATGCAGGATCCTCTGCAATAATATGCATTGTATCCATCTGGGTGAATAATCCATCCTGACCAGCCAATGGCATGGAAGTCTACATAGAGCTCCCTTCGGTGACATGCTGCTAGGGGGCTTCTGGCAGCAGCGGCTGCGGCAGCTCGGGGTCTCCTGCTCATGCTGGCACTGCTGCTTTCCATGACAGCAGCGTCATGAGAAACACGTGAAGCATCAGATTTGGCAGGGGGGTTTGTTTCTGATTCTGAAAGGAAGCTGTATGTTAATATTTCACAAACAAAGTTCATTTACAAAGTACAGTATTCTATGTGATCGTCTATTAAGTAAATCTACATTGAAGTCTTCAGAGCAGATTTCAAAACAGCACCTAACCTGTGAATGTACCAGAAGGGGTGTGTATTCAATTGCCATTTCAGCCATGCTTCCAAATCTGTCAAATCTTGTATCCTGGAAAAGCCCCAATCCAGCAGAAATAGAAAAAAACCCGCAATGATCTGCCACATATTCTGAACTCCACAATTCCTCTTCAGGGCTGAATCTAGCCAGAATGGTTTTTACTGTCTCCATACAGCCACTCCTACAACACACATTATTCTGGGCAGTGCTAACAGAGGGTGGAGATCACAGTCTTTTTCTCTCCAGTATTCTCCCAGGGACTATACCCATACACTTGCAAAGCAGAATGTGCAGAAACCTGGTAATGTGCAAAGTAACATTGTAAAAAATATATTTTTCAAATTTTTGATCCTGGAAAAAACCACCACCAGGTTTACAGAACACTGCTAAGAAGTGAAGTGTACTGACAATAGGATGCTGTCTTAAAGTATCTTCTGAGAAGCCCTGGGATCCATGGAAATCCATATACACAAGCTGGAGCTCCCTGATATGTACAACGTGTGGTCCCTGACCACTAGCAACGGGCAGGTCTACAGAGTTACTTTGTTAAGAAATTTCTCAATCCTGACACAATATCCCATGCAGACCTTGATGTTCATTAAACTAGATCTAGGATTTCACTATTCATTTTTATTTGGAAAACAAAAATAAACAGAACCGGTCTAATTTATAATTTTAAAATTTTATTTCTAATCAATTTCATCACCTACTTCTTAATATTGTCGCACCTAGGTTCTAATATGCAAATATACAACCGTTTACCAGAAAAGCCTGGAAAGCCAGAGCAGCATGATTTTGCCCCTCCTTCAAGCTCTTTGCATTTATCAGGCCCTAAAATCCAGCCTTAGCTGATTTTACACTAAGGCCAGTGGGAGATGTAAGACACTGTTTTGTATTTTAAGGCACGAGGGCGTTGTCTTTGATGAAAGCAGCCTTTAGTCACAATGCTAATTAGCCACTGAAGTTAAGTAGGTGCTTAAAAACCAAGCTAAGGACAGAGAAGTTCAAATTGCTTGTTTAACAATCTCTTTCACTCTTAAAATCACATGTAATGACTCTACTTACAGATACTTTACCAGAATTTTGACATAGCATTCCAGGCGACTGAGATTTTTTTCAGAATAAACCTAACATACAATTTTAATGCAAATTTCACCACCACAAGAATAATACAAGCAGTACTTAAACAATATAACTCCCACTCCTTTACAAGCTAAATAAACCAGTTTCTCCTTAGGATTAATTTCTGGTACACATAGCTTTTGTGAGGGGAGGGGCAATTTAGGATGTTGGTGACCTACTAGAACTATCCAATCTAATTTCGATCACTGACAAAGCTGAACTTCAAACCTGTTCATTACTGCAAGTAAATAAATGAGGTTAGGTCTACATGAGGTAGCAGAAGGTGACAGAAGATGAACGGGCAATTAATATTCTAAAAGTGCACTTACTTGTAGCAAAGGGTACAAAGCTGTGAGACCTCCGCTTGTTGCTGTTCGTGAAGAGAACAAGGAGAGCATTTCTGCTCTCCTGCAAAGTGCCCTGGCTCTTGGCAAATGTAACCATGTCGTGTTCCATTCCATTCTTGGAAACATGTGTTGCAGTTATCCAAAAGCCATGGTTGGAGCTGTTGTTTCCAACCCACTTGGAAACCTGGTGACGATAGGGAAAAGAAAAAATATTGTTTCAATATTCTAATTACAGCATTATAATTAAGCAATGTTTCTATTAGGAAAAGAGAATAGGCAACAAGCTATGAGAGCATAAGGACATATATTATAACAGAAGTGAGATAACTGCATAGCTGAGACTCCATTGACTTGAATATTTAAACCAGTAATTCAACACTTAAAAATACAAAATAGTGTATGCATTCCCCAAAGCTACATTTACAGAAAGATAATTAATTTTAGAGAATTTACCAGTGAACACTTGAGTGTACACTCAACACTTTTTAATATTAAAATAAGCACTCTCTGACTTTCAGCAGAAATTTATTTTTCATAGCAATCTGAACACAGTAATATTAACTCTCCAGACTTTTCATACCGTTAAGATTTATGTAAATCTAAAAAAACATGGCATTTGAAGAAATTCACAATCAAACAAATTTTACTTATCTAATTGTTGTAATTGCACACTGATCGATTAGGCCAGGTCATTCTCTAGCAGGAATATCATGACTTAAGATGGAACTCAACCAATCATCCAAGCACGCTGTTCAGTCTGCTCATAAAGCTTAGGCAAGGAAAAACACTGTCCCAGGGAACAGCTTTAAAGCACGTGTGGGTTCTTTTGCTACCGGAAAGGCATTCACCTACTGTCACAAAACCGATCTTGAAGCTCACAAACACAGAAGTCTGTGGGGGAAGTTGAATGACAGGCAATCCAACCAAGATAAACTCCGGAAACACAACGTTGAAACAATACTGCTCTACAGAAATGCTACCAGAATAAAAAGGAGAAACTAAAACCTACTCTTAGTAGGAAACCAATGCCAATTGCTTTGGCAGTCTAAAGACTAACACCAGGTTTTAATCAGTACTTGGTCTGACGTCTCTTAATCGACTAGGTTTGGGTTACTCAGTTCTCACCATGCTTGTGCTCCGAGCAGCTCATAAACACTTCTTTAATTCAGGTAGCACCAGGTGTACTTTTAAGGGTAGAGAGAAAGCTTCTCCCTCTGCTGCTGTCCTTCTGTTTGAACTGACCTCAAAACCCAGCTTAATCGCAATGCTGGAGTTGTAAGGTGTCATCTCAAAAGTTTAAGAAAAAAATTCAGTCAGACTTTGCTTACTGTCTGTGTGACATTGAAGACTTCCCAGCCTTCCGTGTGGAGGGACAACAGTCTTGATGCAATGAGATGTTTTTTCTGTGGCTTATTTTCACTCTCCAAAAGCTCATACACTTCCACCTAAATAACAACAATGCACAACAAAACCAAGAAGAAATTTATTTGATTGTTCTTACAGTAAACTAGGAGGATGAAGGTTATGCAGGTTTCTGCTACTTCACAGCTGTATAACTACCGTCATTCTAAAAGAGGTAAAAAGTAGATTTGGGACAGTTTAACAGAAAAACAGTTATTGCTACACACATCTACTTCTAGATGTGTTCAGAGGCAGGATACCAGACATAGATGTTATAGAAAATTATCCTAACCATCCCTATCCTGTTTTGAACACCTGATACCGTCAAAGTCTTCAGTTCCTCCACATATTTGGCTTCAGGTCTGCAAAAAGTCCAGTTCTGCCCTTTGCCAGAGGAATACATATACTCAATCTCCTCACCCGCCTTGTTTTCCCATGAATCCCTGACTGCTAGTACTATTTTTCGGAACAGCTCCAGCAGACCAATTTCAATTCGAATTTCGAAACTTCTCAAGTCCCAGAAAAGTATATTTGGGATAGGTCTGACATTAGTATTTTTAGGGAAAGCTCACTGCCATAGCACACAGGTCAGTGTAAAGCCAAAGTCAAAACTTGACATTACTTCTTTGCATGATGGAGGCAAAGAAAAAGTGAGGATGATAAAACAAAAATAACAACAAAGCAGGTTTGTGTGACACGTAGTTGCACTCCTTATTTTCAGTATTAATAACAAAGACAAGCAGAATTAAGTGTTTAACTATTTCCCCACTTACTTTGCAGAAGTGTTTTGTGTCGGACCTTCTGGACCGATGCGTCCCCTTAAGTTTGAAGACCCTGAACTCGGCTTTCAGCATCTGCTCGCCCTTCTCCACCGCGCTGATGTCGAAGTAGAAGTGGTGGTGGTCCACGTGAACTGTAAAAGACCCTTCCTTAGGAGCACGGCCGGGCCCCGCCGGGCCTGACCCGCCCGCGCGGGGACTCCCCGTGGGCTCGGCCCCGCCGCCCGCGCCCACCTCGGTCCTCGAAGCTGCGCACCACGTCTCCCTGCAGCAGCCCCGGGGCGCGGGTGATGCCGTTGGCGTCGGCCACCTTGTTGAAGAGATCCACCATGAACTGGGGCGGCTTCTTGCGGGGCAGCACGTCGGGCGGCAGCTCCTCGATGTCGAAGACCTCCCGCAGGCGCTGCAAGGCCGCTGCCAGCACCGCGTCCTGCGGGTCGGGGAGCAGGGGCAGGGCGTGGGCCGCCCGCAGGCTCAGCAGCCCGGCCAGGCACAGCCACAGCCACGGCCACAGCCACGGCGGGCGGGTCGCCATGGACCCGAGGGCCAAAGGCCCCGGGCAGGGGAGGCCGCGCCGCGCCCGGGCCATCAGCGGCGCTTAAGGGCTCAATGGGGCATCGCCGTGCGCTCGTTGGCATCGGAGCGGCCTCGGGGCTCGGGCTGCCGGGGAAAGGGCCAGGTGTCAGCGGAGAACACCGCACTTGCGAAACACCTGTCCTTTCAACCGACCGGCTTTTTTTTTTTTTTTTTTTTTTTTTTCTTTTTCACAGCCGAAAAAGGCTGATTTGGAGATTGTTGAGCCCAGGTGATATTTCCCGTCGTTGCCGTAGCCATAAAAAGTATACCGGGACCTGGGCGTGAGCTTCTGTACTTCCCTGCCTCCGGCAAGCCCGGGATCCCCGGCACCCTCCCGTCCCACAGGCTCCGGAATGCCCGGGATCCCCGGCACATTGCGTCCCACAGGCTCCGGAATGCCCGGGATCCCCGGCCCCTTCCCGTCCCACGGCCCGCGGGATCGCCGCTGGTGCGGCCCCGGTGCCGAGGCTTGGCCGGGCTGCAGGACGGACGCTGCCGTTCCCCAGGCTCAAACTCCGGCCCTACAGCTGCCCAAGGGGAGGAGGCTTTAAGGACAGAGTCCGGGGTTCTGCCAGTGCAGTGCAGCAAGAACAGCCAGGCTTCGAAGTATTCAGGGACCGGGGCAGGAATACACATTCTGACGAGCTATTTTAAGGCTTATTTCCCAGAGTCAACTAGCTTTCAATAATTTGCTTTTTTTCCCATCCACTGGTTGATGAAAGGGATTCCACACCCTATACTAAATACTAAAACGGAAAAGCAATCCAAACGAACCAACCGCAGCCCTAAGGATCCTGCACAGTAGTCCTTTTCAAGGCAGTCTTTTCAATGCAACTTACAGAGGAGCGAATAGACCTTCCTGATGTTTCGTGCAGCAGCGCTTGTTCTTCTTGTGCCACATTGCGCTGTGTTCTCTTTCCAGGCAGGAAAGTATTGGGAGGTATTTTGTGGGGCAGATAAAAACGTCTACTGACTCCTCTGCTTAGCCACACGACGTTAGACAGGGTTTGCACTGAGCAACCAGGTGGACCTATGGGAGAATAAGGTGGGGAGAAAGAGGCCACAGCTCCATACAGTCCCGAATTTTTGCCCCATGGAGTGCAAAAGACTAGTGAAGGAAAGTGAGAAGCAGTGATGGGTTAATCAGACCAGTGTAAAGAGCACTGTTGCTGCACGTAAAGCTTCAGCCAACTTTGATCCTCAAAATTCTCCAGTTGTCTTGAAAGAGCTGCAGGTATCTGAGCTCATGTCTAACAACAGTGCTGGATAAAATACTACCCATTCAGCTACCTGCCTAAGAGCTTGGAAAAAGACCAGTATGACAGCAGAAATAATCACTACACTCTTTTTCAGTCAACGAAAAAAGCTTTGCTTCCACTTCACTGCTTCTTCACATTCTTATCCTCACAAACCCTACCCTGCCCTTGGGTCTCTTCATTTACTCCCAGTATCCTCTCTAGGCATATACCTTCATTTTTACTCTCATGGTGCTGCTTCCAGACATTAATGTCTGGGAACACATAGCTAGGGTTCCCAAAGAATCTTAACTCTGCCCCAGAGGCAAAGATTTATGAAAAAAATCCTCTCTGTTTAATATAAGCTGGGACTACAAACAACGAAATGTCTCTATCGTAGTGCAACTGCAGAAATTTCAGCCTACAGTTAGCCAAACATAACCCACTGAGTGCTGTGTTCTTTTATTTTCATATTTCTGATTAGGCAAACAACATAATGAAAGCCTCTCTCCCTATTCTTTTGTAAGACTGCATGACTCACCACTTATGTAAGCCTTATGCAGGAGCTGGTCATAGCTCCTCTGATGATTCTAAGTCCTGGTCTGCAATTAGTGCAAAGCTTCTACCTCCCTGTTCTGTACAATAAAAATAGGTTCTCTCAACTTACGTGTTGTGAGCAGTGTGGCTTTGGGAGCCCAGGAAAAGCTGTGCATCAGTAGGGAACAATGATAGGCAGTTAACTTAAAATTTTAGGTGGATTCTCTAGAGTTCAGCATTGGCATTGCTTTCCCTTCTCTCTCAAATGACTGGATAAACAGCTTGTTGGGTCTGAGCAGCTCACAGTCATCTGGCTCTCAGGTATAGCATATGGGTAAGAATGGGGGGATTTATTGTAGGGCCTGCCACATCATCTTTAATGCCATGGTGAATATAGCATAGCAATACTGAAAAAACATGGCTATTGCATGGGTAGAGCAGGCTGAGAGCTGCTTCTAACACAGCTGCCTGACACTTCCTATGTTTTCTGTGCAGGTTCTGTATTCTGAATTGAATGACTCACAACAGGTCTATTCTTTCTGGGGAAAAGAAGATTACTTTTCTGCTCTGTGAATGAAACAATGATCCTCTGCAGTCTTCCCCGGGTTTTTCAGGCAGGGAGCAAGAACATGAGGTGTTTCACTCAGTTCCATGGCAACTTGGGCCCATTTAAAAAAAGAGGAATGGCCCTTGCATGTCAGACTCTTTACTTTTAGTGATAGGAGAGGTAGCAAAACCATGTCCACCAGAACAAGTTAATTCCTAAGGAAAGCTTCATCTACTAAGTTTCAGCTGAAGGCACAGGACTGTACCACATCAGCAATACTGTGTGGTGACCTCACCCCAGAGCCTAGAATAGCAATCCCGTGAGGGCTGGGTAGATGGAGAGAGCCACTGAGTTAGTAAGCATTTAGTATATTCAGCATTTAGTCTCAGTGTTGGAACATGGACATTATAAATGGCCCTAAGTAGCAGAGTGTTTTTACCATGTACCTAATAGATAAATAAATACCTCTCCCAGAGGAGATAAACTCCCAAGTGCAGGCTCGCCAGCACATCCTGACTCCTAGACATGTGCCCTATGCAAGCCCTTAAAAAACTGCACTCTCATCAATTTTCTAGGATAGTTTTGTGTAACTTAGAGTCGCGGAATTAATGATCTAGACAATAAAATACCATATTACCTGTAATTCCAACCAGGGCTTCTTTGTACTGTGCTATCATTTCTTGAAGCATTTTTGAAGGACCCGAAAGATGTATTGTTTCCCTCTAAAGACTGTATCCATCACATGGAGAAACCAATGCAGCAATTAGTGTTGCATCTAAACTTACCCAGAGGTTTATAGCAGGAATTCCAGACACTCCTGCTCCTAAAAGACCAAGCAGGTGGATTACTCCAGATTTTAAATCACCTCAGTGACTATGTTACCAAATGTAAAACATAAGGAAAAATTAGGAAGACATTTAGTAATTTCTTAGCCCATACATTGGAAATATGCCAAATTTGGATAAAATTGCTATAGGGTCGCTTAATATTTAAATTTTTCACCGTCTTTACATATCTTTTGAGGAGGCACAACCACCAGCAGCACAAGAGGCATCACATCATTTTTCCTTGCTGAATCACCAAGATAGAGCTGTTCCACTGTTCCTTAACACCTCCTCCCTTCAAGAGAGAAAACTGCTTAAACTGTAATAACTGGGTTTTACATATGAATCACAGCAGTATGCAAAAAGAATTCAAGTTAGATATTGTCCCACCAGTTTAATTATTCATCTATCCAGTTCCTTATTTTAAAAATAAAATTATTTTAGGAGAAAAAGAAAATAAAATCAAGCTTGTCCCTTCTGTTATAGCCTATTGAAAGGCAGAACTGCAGCAGTAGAAGACAGCAACACTTAGCCAAGTTTAGCAATCTTGGAATCAGAAGCAAAGCTGACCTTATGACCTGAGTACAACTGTCTATAGGTGATTGTCACCTGAAGCCAAAACTTGCAGATATAAAACCCCACTTCTTTATAGCTTTATTTGGGAGGATGACATTTATAATCTGCAACAGCCTCAATTCTCCACATGGTGCAGCTCTTTGAGAAGAGGCTGAGCCACAGCCAGAAGTTAGGCATTTTAAAATGCCATAGTTAATTCCATTTTTAATCAATCTATCCATTCGGCAACTTACATTTATGTGGTACGTCATTATAGTCCAGAAAGCCAAAGGCCTACCACCTTTAGCTAAGTCTTTTTTCTTATATGTCAAAATTTAGTTTTATAGCAGAGATCTGTTGGTTGGCTATACATCTTCAGCAAAAAGGTGAACACAGGAGCACCTGGAATAATGTAAAATGAGGATGGGATGGGAGGACAAGGGAAAACATCTTCATGAACAAGGTTTTTTTACCTCCCCCTTTACAAATATGGTTTGAAATCAGAAGGAACAATTATGATGATTTTAACTTCTGCTGCTAAAGTTCAGCATGTTTTACTAAGCAGTGTACACAGTTCCCACAACTGCTTACTGAGCAAGTAAAGTTTCTGCTATTTAGCTTTCTATATTTTTATTCAACTGCATTTGTCTGCTCAAGTGGTAGATCGCATCCCACAGTAGCATGGTGTTCAGCTTTTAGCATCTTTACAGGAAAGACATTTTCCGTAGTTCCCTGTGGTATGCTTTTTTTTAATTTAAAGTTTATAATCACTGTTCCATGCTGACATGTCTTTCCTTAGTAAGATTTAGTGGTTTTTTTTTTCAGCTTTATTCCTAAATTAACATCTGTATTTTGATTTTTCTTCATCCCCTTTTTTTTACTGAGGTAAGAAAACAAAATATAAGAACACACACATTCCACATGAGTGATTTTTGGAATCATGCACAGATAAAGTAGCAACTACCAACTCCAGCATTGAGTACTTGGAAACTGAGACAGCTAGAATACAAGATTTGTTTGACTATGCAACACTGTTAGTGAGGAACTGCTTCAGATATTCTGTGAAGATGTGAAAGAAATTCGCTTTATACAGGTAAAACTAGACAAACAAAAGTCAGATATTTTATGGAAAGTAGAATTTTTCTGGAATAACTCTACTACATTAAAATGTATAGTAGATATATGCTAGGAAAACTTTATCTATAAATCAGTAAATCTTTATTCACATATGCTTTTGAGATCAACTACTTACAAATTTTTT